CTGTACAGCCATCGGCTCCACTGTCTAAGGTAACTGACATGTTGATGTGAGACTCAGAGCAATATTCCATCTACCCACTGATCCACGTAGCAGGGCAGAGCAGTTCCAGGCTGACCCCAAGTGAGACATCCCGCACCCGTGACAACACAGACCCTGTGACACAACAAGTGACTGACAACTTGGGTACTCAGCTACGCAGAGAAGACCTTCAAGAACCTAAGGATGATGCCTGATGCTTCACATAAGCCCCTCGAGGGCAAGATGCAAAAACCCTAAGGACACGAAACACGGACGAGACAAAGGACGTGACACAGACTGGAACTGCTCTGCCCTGCACACGTGAATCCAATGATACAAAGTAAGCCCTTCCTTTGATGCGGCCAAATAACCCATTATAGGATACCCATTGCACTGTACTGATTTCAAAAATCCCTCCGGGCGATGCACATGCTTGGACCGACTCCCAACCCCTCTCTGGGTCTTTGCCCTGCACTTATCTTTCCCAGAGCCGGGGATGTGAATCCATCTCTGATGCAAAGGAGGGGCACCTGGGCTGGCTCAGAGGTTCCTGTCCTCGTGAGATCACTCGGAGTCAACTACGAGAAAGAAGACCAGACACAATGTCTGAGTAGTGTGGCACGTGGCCCCAGCCCCAAAGATCCCTCTACTCACTGTCACTGAGGTGGGTCCTCGGGTCACTGGCTCTGACTGGAGTCACATGCTGTGGCTGTCACCTTCTGGGATACCTCAGTGAGCGAGAGACAAAATTAGAGGGCATTTTTGAAGCGGCAGTGCATCCCTGCTCCTCCTGCTGCCTCCCCCAATTGCCTGGAAGGCTCCTCTCTTTCCAGCTGCTACTGAGACCACCCCTTCAAATACAATGGGGAAATGCTCAAACGCTGAGCTCTCAATCATTTAAAGACTGCTCTCGAGGAAAGCTGAAAACCTCTAAACCCCATCAGACTGCATGCCAAAGCAATGTTACACCCCACTAAGAGGGCGGACGGCCGCTGCAAAAAGCACACAGATGCAGAAGTTTGAGCTGACGTACCGCCTCGTGGTGACTGTCTCGGGCTCCTTTAGCTTGACCTCTTATCGAATGGACCTCCGGTACATTCAGCAGACAGGCAAAGGGTTGTGTATCGCCTAGAAATAAAATTAAACAGTTACAACATATATGTATAGATTGAACAAATAGACAACATCCTAAAACTAACACCAAATTCGGTTCAGGAGTAAAATTCTCACCTCGCTCGTCTCCCTGCTGAGCCCCTACCCCTCGAGACCGATTGTGCCCCATCTGGAAAATAAAAAACAAAAAGGCACAAGATAAAGAACTCCTATGGCTAAAACTGACATCCTTCATCCAACACCCAATACAACCTTCTTCCTAGGCTGCTTCAACTTGTCTCGCTCTGGGGTGCATCGTGTCCACTTATCTGGGGGGGGGGAAAAAGAAAAAAATAAGGTTAGTCAGGTCACCTGCATGGTCACTGAGACCTTCACCATGTAAAAGATCTCATTTACCCTGAGCAAATGAGAACTCTGACAGCAGCATATGAGAAGAAAAGTGACAACCCAGCTTCAAGGTCCTGCAATTCAAGTACCATCAGCTCCACAACACTCAGCTCTAATGATTGCACACGAGTTACGGACACCTGCTCCATCCGGCAGGACTGTACAGCCATCGGCTCCACTGTCTAAGGTAACTGACATGTGGATGTGAGACACTGAGAAATATTCCATCTACCCACAGATCCACGTAGCAGGGCAGAGCAGTTCCAGGCCAAGACCAAGTGAGACATCCCGCACCCGTGACAACACAAACCCTGTGACACAAAAAACCCTAAGGACACGAAACACGGACGAGACAAAGGACGTGACACAGACTGGAACTGCTCTGCCCTGCACACGTGAATCCAATGATACAAAGTAAGCCCTTCCTTTGATGCAGCCAAATAACCTGTTATAGGATACCCATTGCACTGTACTGATTTCAAAAATCCCTCCGGGCGATGCACATGCTTGGACTGAATCCCAACCCCTCTCTGGGTCTTTGCCCTGCACTTATCTTTCAGAGAGACGGGGATGTGAATCCATCTCTGATGCAAAGGAGGGGCACCTGGGCTGGCTCAGAGGTTCCTGTCCTCGTGAGATCACTCAGAGTCAACTACGAGAAAGAAAAACCACACACAATGTCTGAGTACTGTGGCACGTGGCCCCAGCCCCAAAGATCCCTCTACTCACTGTCACTGAGGCGGGTCCTCGGGTCACTGGCTCTGACTGGAGTCACACGCTGTGGCTGTCATATTCCAGGACACCTGAGCGAGCAACAGACAAAATTAGAGGGCATTTCTGAAGCTGCAATGCATCCCTGCTCCTCCTGCTGCCTCCCCAACTCACCTCCAATGCCTGGATGCTCTCAAATGTTAGCCGGATGGCACCTGGGACCACTAAAGCTCAGTGCTTCGTTGCTCATCCTTTTAATACTCGGAGATTGCAGACAAGGACAGCTCGAGACAACCAAATCCGGTCGGTCGCCCCATCGTGAGGTGGTTCCTGCGGTCACAAGGTTACTCCAAGTCAACTACGAGAAAGAAAACCATAAACTATATGTGAGTAGTGTGGCACGGGGCTGGAACCCCAACGATCCCCCTACTCACTGTCACTGAGGCAGGTCCTCGCATCACTGGCTCTGACTGGAGTCACATGCTGTGGCTGTCATCTTCTGGGATACCTGAGTGAGCGAGAGACAAAATTAGAGGGCATTTTTGAAGCGGCAGTGCATCCCTGCTCCTCCTGCTGCCTCCCCCAATTGCCTGGAAGGCTCCTCTCTTTCCAGCTGCTACTGAGACCACCCCTTCAAATACAATGGGGAAATGCTCAAACGCTGAGCTCTCAATCATTTAAGGATTGCTCTCGAGGAAAGCTGAAAACCTCTAAACCGCATCAGACTGCATGCCAAAGCAATGTTATACCCCGCTGAGTGGACAGACGGCCGCTGCAAAAAGAACACAGATGCAGAGGCTTGAGCTGACGTACCGCCTCGTGGTGACTGTTTCGGGCTCCTTTAGCTTGACCTCTTATCGAATGGACCTTCGGTACATTCAGCAGACAGGCAAAGGGTTGTGTATCGCCTAGAAAAAAAATTAAACAGTTACAACATATATGTATAGATTGAACAAATAGACAACATCCTAAAACTAACACCAAATTCAGTGCGGGAGTAAAATTCTCACCTCGCTCGTCTCCCTGCTGAGCCCCTACCCCTCGAGACCGATTGTGCTCCATCTGGAAAATAAAAAACAAACAGGCACAAGATAAAGAACTCCTATGGCTAAAACTGACATCCTTCATCCAACACCCAATACAACCTTCTTCCTAGGCTGCTTCAACTCATCTCGGTCTGGGGTGCATCGTGTCCACTTATCTGGGGGGGAAAAAAAAAAAAAGTAAGGTTAGTCAGGTCAGCTGCATGGTCACTGAGACCTTAACCATTTAAAAGATCTCATTTACCCTGAGCAAATGAGAACTCTGACAGCAGCATATGAGAAGACAAATGACAACCCAGCTTCAAGGCCCTGCTATCCCAGTACCATCAGCTCCACAACACTCAGCTCTAATGATTGCACACGAGTTACGGACACCTGCTCCATCTGCAGGACTGTACAGCCATCGGCTCCACTGTCTAAGGTAACTGACATGTTGATGTGAGACACTGAGCAATATTCCATCTACCCACTGATCCACGTAGCAGGGCAGAGCAGTTCCAGGCCAAGACCAAGTGAGACATCCCACACCCGTGACAACACAGACCCTGTGACACAAAAAACCCTAAGGACATGAAACACAGACGAGACAAAGGACATGACACAGACTGGAACTGCTCTGCCCTGCACACGAGAATCCAATGATACAAAGTAAGCCCTTCCTTTGATGCGGCCAAATAACCTGTTATAGGATACCCATTGCACTGTACTGATTTCAGAAATCCCTCTGGGCGATGCACATGCTTGGACCGACTCCCAACCCCTCTCTGGGTCTTTGCCCTGCACTTATCTTTCAGAGAGACGGGGATGTGAATCCATCTCTGATGCAAAGGAGGGGCACCTGGGCTGGCTCAGAGGTTCCTGTCCTCGTGAGATCACTCGGAGTCAACTACAAGAAAGAAAACCAGACACAATGTCTGAGTAGAGTGGCACGTGGCCCCAGCCCCAAAGATCCCTCTACTCACTGTCACTGAGGCATCACTGGGTCCTCGGGTTGCTGGCTCTGACCGGAGTCACACGCTGTGGCTGTCATCTTCTGGGATACCTGAGCGAGCGAGAGACAAAATTAGAGGGCATTTCTGAAACTGCAGTGGATCCCTGCTCCTCCTGCTGCCTCCCCGACTCACCTCCAATGCGTGGATGCTCTCAAAGGTTAGCCGGATGGCACCTGTGATCACTAAAGCTCAGTGCTTCGTTGCTCATCCTTTTAATACTCACAGATTGCAGACAAGGACAGCTCGAGACAACCCAATCCGGTCGGTCGCCCATTGTGAGGTGGTTCCTGCAGTCGCGAGGTTACTCCGAGTCAACTACGAGAAAGAAAACCATAAACTATATGTGAGTAGTGTGGCACGGGGCTGGAACCCCAACGATCCCCCTACTCACTGTCACTGAGGCAGGTCCTCGGGTTGCTGGCTCTGACTGGAGTCACACACTGTGGCTGTCATCTTCTGGGATACCTGAGTGAGCGAGAGACAAAATTAGAGGGCATTTGTAAAGCTTCAGTGGATCCCCTCACCATCCCCTGAGCTGAGGGGTTCTCGGGCCACTGGCTCCAACCTGAGTTGAAGGCTGCTGCTGTCACCATGTGCTGTACCTGGGTGAGGGAGAAAATAAGTTAATGGTGTTTCTGAAAGCACGGGAGACCCCAGCACCTCCTCACTACCTCCCTGACTCCACCTGAATGCTCCTCCTTTGCTAAAGGCAGGCCAGAGGGCACCTGGGACCAAAAAACGTCGAGCCTTAATTGATGAGCCTCGTAGTACTGGGAGACTACTCACAAGGACAGCTGAAGACCATCAAACCTAACTGGCAGGTGGCTCCGGCCCTCTGAGGCTGCACACATTCTCTGCAAAGTAAAAAAGCCAAAGGCAAATGTACATACTGAGATACTGCCTGAAAGGATGGCTTTCCTGGGGTACCTCCTACCCACCTCTCCTCCACAGTGACCTCTTACCGGCAGGGTCCCTGAAGCACTGGACTGTCTGTGAGAAGGTGGCAGAACCCCTGGGAAACACAAGAAACACAGCATGTGCACACATTCACCACAACACCTGTAAAAGACCACCTAGTTCTGGCCTAGAGTCGATGCTCACCTTGCTCACCGGTACTCACCAGGATCACCTCCCCTCCGGTGCCTAGAGCCTCCTGGGCTCAGGGCTCTGCATCTGAAAACAAAGAAAAAACAAACCAAAACAAGAACATCCTTAACTCATCAAGTAAACATGGGGCCAAAAGCCACAGCTTTGTGCTGACATCAGGTGATGACCCACCTTCTCGCTCTGCTCCTCTGGCCTCTGTTCTGTTCAGCTCTGCTTTACACCCTGTCCCTCTGGCATGGTAAAGAAACCCTAACCAAAGTCACCCAGATAGATTGGGACATCTGAAAGAGTCTCCCTTCTCTTCAGGCAAACCACCCAGGGTCACTGCCTGCAGCCAAAGACTGCAGCTGTAATCCCACAGAATATCTGGGTGAATGAGAGGAAAACTCAAGTGGCACATCTGAAAAGTCAGTGGGTGCCTTCACAGACATTTAGGGGGCTCCTGGACACTGCTTTCCACCCACACTGCCTTCAAAACACCCTGGCAATTCCTAAGCTGGCACCTGAGCCCTCACTCCATCTCTGGGCTG